AGGACATCGTGTGCCCAGTGCATGGTTCCACACTGACATGGTTCTTGAAAATCCGATGTGACTGAGGGCATCCACAGCTCGGGGGTGAGTTAGTGCCAGGTCTCCTGGCACTACCCAGCAGTGCTGGAAACAGCCTCGGGGATAAACACTTATTGCAAATGATCAGGCAGACCCTTCCTCAAAGAGGTCCTCCCAAGACAATGTTTGTAGGGCTTCAAGTGGAAACTTGTTTCTTTTCACAAAAAAAATCCCAGAGAGAGGGAGAAGGAGTCAAAAAACAGTGGGAGCTTTTTAAATAAAATTTTAAACAGCGTATTGGACATTTTAATTGAGAGATTTATTCTTGTCTCATTTAAAAAAAAAAAAAAAGTCCAAACTCTGTTATTTACCTAAAAGCTGTATCACGCTGGGCGGAGGCTGCCAGCACAAGACAGGCAGAGCTGTGGGGCTGAGCCAGAGCTCCTGGGCACCACCTCTCCTGCTCTGCCCTCGGGCTGTGGGCTGGCACGGGCACAGAGCTCCTTCCTGCCCACTGGCAGCCTGATAAACACGGCTGGCTTGTGCTCACCCCTCAGCACAAGCTGGGTCAGGCACCTGATCAATGTAAGCCAAAAAACTGAAGTGCGTTGGGCTGCCGAGGATGGAGCTGCTGTCAATTTGTTTTTCTTGGCTCAGCAATTTCCCCTGAGATCTCCATCAATGAATCGATGCTCGGTATCGCACTGTCCCGCCTCAGCTCCTCATCCCGGGGGGGTGTGTCCCCTCAGGCCGGCCCTGAGGGACGAGTGGCCTCCAACAGCCAGCCAGAGCAGCAGCCTGGGGCTGGCTCAGCACTCAGCTTAACTCTGCTCGGAGCTGCTGAGGTTCCCTTCAGAGCTCAGGGTGTGCCAGGTGCTCTCTGAACTGAGACACGTACCTGGCTGCCGGTGTGAGGGGTGCGTCACGCTGTTACATAAACATTTTGGGTTCCTTCCAGTTTACTGCGCTCCACTGGGAGCTGGAAAATAGCGTTTTCTACAGGGCTACCGCTTCTGTGGCAACAGCCTACTTCCGTCTCCGTGAGGCAGATTCAGGTTTTCCAGTGACATTGGTCAGGCAGGAAAATCACGTGCTCTGAGAGAAGCAAACCAACAATTTTGCCTGCCGTACCCCAAATGCCAGATTCTTTCGGTATTTTTTTTTTATTATTATTTTTATCTTTACGGCTCTTTTTGCTTAGCTATTTAAAACTAGAAAAACCGGAAACTTGTTGTAATTAAACTGGGACCACGGTACAAATCACCAGGGCTCTTCCCACCCGCGTTCCGGCCAAAGCTGACTTGCGGTGCCTGTTCCAACTTGCAGCAGCCGCGAGTGTATCGGCAGCCGAAGGTTCCCCCCTGCAGCACAGTGACAGCTACTGCAGGTGCCCCACGAGCTGGAGCTCATTTATCCATGAGGATTTTCATGTTTAAAAAGAAAGGGAAAAAAAAAAAGAAAAAGGCATCTTGCTCTGCTGAGATCCAGAGAAAATTTTACTGACTTCAGTAAAAACAGATGGGGTTGTTAACAGCATGGAGGAATTGGCGATTATTGGCACTTATTTTCTTTGTGAGGCCCAACCTGGGGAGTTTCCTAGGGAGATATGTTATGCCACAGGTACTGGTATAATGAATACATCTACGGGTCAGCACCAGATAAAGTTTTGCCCCTCAGTCATGATGAAGCAGAAGAAAAAGGCGGCTAAAAGTTTACATGGTTCAAGGGATAACTGAGAAAATTAATGGAGAAACTTGCTGAGGGATACTAAGGCAACACTATGGTCCAAGGATGTGCCTAAAAATCAAACTGTTGGAGGTAGTGGGGGTTTTGGGGGAAGCATTTTTTATTGGTTCTCTCTTCTTGTAGTACTCCTTTCTCTGGGTGCACCCAGGATGGATGGACTTTCATGTGATCCAGCCCTATGACTCCTGTTTTCTTATGGGCATCTGTGCCAGTGCTTGCCAAAGCATTTGGGTTTTCTGTTGCTGCAGATTCTAGCCAAATTTAGGCAATTGCAGCTAAATAACCCAGAGGTCACAGATGAAATGCCCTTTCTAACTTTCCCTGGTTATATCCTTTTCTGAAGGAAAATTGAGCTCCTGAAAAATGTGCTGGCCTTGTTCATCACCTGCACCAAAGTCTGCCCACTGTGTTCACCATCTACACCAAGGTCTGCTGCCCACCTTGTGCATCACCCACACCAAGGGCATCTATCCGAGTATGTATTAACCTGCCCTATTTTAGGGACACAGTGGGGCTTGACCAGTAGTTGGCAGTGGCTCATAAAGCAGTAAAGCTTTGTTCATAAAGCTTTGTTCCCCTCATACATGCACATACAGACCCCCTGAGCTTTAGCTGGCTGCTGGCAGAGCCCTCAGCTTAGCACAGACTGTGTTTTCTCATGTGAAATTCAATAAATTCAGCATTTTCGGGACCTCGGCATAATCAGGGTTTTCAATCTTCTCCTTCATTGCCTTCTAATATACCCTCCTAACAATTAACTCTGTGTGTTGGGAGAATGCCAAATGCAGGGTAAAAGACTTCGTTTTTCTTTCCCATAATTAAATGTCGTGTTCGCTGCTGCCTCTCCCACTCGATTAAGTGTCCGTGTACGGTCTAAAATGCTCTTTGGTGAATTAGCATAAAGTCTGTCAGGATTTCAACCAGCATTCTCCCTCTCGTTGTATCTGTGCAGCTCACAAAGAGCAGCATTGGCTGGCGCTGGGGGCTGTTCCCCCGGCCTTTTTCGGGAGGTTGGGCTCGGGGAGCGCTTGTGAGGCTCCCTGCCCACCTCCCCTCACCCCCTGCCCGGAGCAGCCGTGCCTGGATACAGAGCCTGTCACCCTCTGCACGGCATTGTGGCTGTGCCTGGCTCGCTCCCACAGGAAACTGCTTGGATGTCAGAGGAAACAGCTTTTCTCTGCCACTCTGTAAAAAACCACTTGAAAACCTCTCTCTGGTCTCCACCTGTGCTGCAGGCTAATTGGGGCAGCTAGCTGTTAAGAGCCCTTTTTTTTAAAATTACATCTAAAAATATACTGGAGAAATATTCCCCAAGAGAGACTCTGGCAACATCTACAGCACTGCATGTGGTGGCAAAAATATACTAGGGTGTCACTGAACTAATAGATGTGTGAGTTATGGGCTGGGAGGTGCAGTAAGTATCAAAACTTTCTACCAGTTCAGGATGAGCTGGAAGCAAGATGATGGCTGGCGTCCTCAGCACAAGATAAATAGCATGGTTGCCCTGCCTGGCAGCCCTGCACTGGGGAATGGAGCATTCCTGCTTCGAGGGTTTCCCTAAAACACTTTCCCCGGAGCTAGTGCACTTTTTGCCACATTCCCCAGGGCTGCTCTGTGCCACACAGCTCCAGGTAGAGGGTCCTGGGCAATGTGACACTCTCTAGGGGTGTACTCAACCTCTGCTCAACTTTTTAACACAGCTCTGGCTCCTGCTGAGAGTCTGTCCTTGTCTCCTTTACATCCTGCAATGCTTAGCCCCACTCTTTACCCTTCAAAAAGTCTCCTCCCGGAGACTTTTTTCCCCATACTGTACTCATTTGCTTAAAAGGATAGAGTTGTTTAGTTTGGAAAAAGATTTTTAAGAACTTTGAGATCATCAAGTCCGACCATTAACCCAGCACTGCCAAGTCCACCACTAAACCATGTCCCTAAGAGCCACATCTACACTTCTTTTTAATACCTCTGAGGACAGTGACTTCACCACTTCCTTGTGCAGCCTGTTTCAATGCCTGATCACCCTTTCAGTGAAGCAATTTTTCCTTGTATCTAATCTAAACCTTCCCTAGCACAGCTTGAGGTTGTTTCTTCCTGTCCTATTGCTTGCTTCTTTAATTTTCACAATTCTTTAATTTTCGTTATTCTTTAATCTTCACAACTTCAGGTTTGTTACCAACTTCACAAGCAGTCTCTGACACAGGAGGATGGGTCATTATAAGGTGGAAGAAGAGTTGGTAGTGAGGGGAACAGAGCTGGCAGATAAACCTGGAATATGTGGTTGTGAGTCCCAAGCCCTCCTTGCCCAGGGGTGTCTCTGCTCCCTGAGAACGGATCACACTGGGTGGGATCTCATACCACTGCTATTTACCCAACTCCTCCTGCTGCTCTCTCTATGTCCCTTGGATAAACAGCTGCAGAAAAGGAACCCTTGTTTCCAGCAGTGTTGGGGGAATGGCTCGTGGTGGTACAGATAACCCTGCCTGCAGACAAGCTGAGAGGCTGCAGTACAACCGGGAGGGTACACAATGTATTATTCACCAGCTGTTTCCTCTCCTTTCAAGACCATTTTTATAAAACCAGGGGCTGGAAGTGATGCATGTGAGATATGTAATCAACCACACAGAAGGAGTTGGAGCTTGAGGCTTGCTGGGTACTCAGACCCAGTCATGAGGAACTGGTTTGTGCAAATCTGTGTCTGGACCTCCATGGTGTTTGACGGCAGGTGGCCCATGAATGTGTCTTCTTTCCTCTCTGGCTGCCTGCTGAAGACTTGAAAATCTGATTTACAGTGGTGCCAGGTGCCTGCAGCTTTTACAGACATTCATAGGAGTGATGCTTTAAACATACAGAGAGGCACTCCCATGACTGGGATCTTGGGGCTTTCGGCTTGGGCCCTGAGTGTTCACAGCCTCTCCTTTGCATGGCCCAGTCCCTAAGGAGGGGACAGGAACAGCCCCCAACCTGGGCAGCAGATA